TTTTGACTAGACTGGTTGGTTTGAAAAACAAATAACTCTTTGTAACAACAAAATAAGCACTTTTTAAAAATATAACAACAACATAATCTAATTAGGTAGGTACACTTTAAAATTAATACTCATCAATTTAGTGACATATATAGAAAGATACCAATTAATGACAACATAATGTACTATTTTTCAAATTATTTTATAAAATAACATTAATATATATCTAAATTATTAACCTGTGCATAGGTTGGATCAAATTTTCTCTATGCAATTGTATCCATAGTTTCATATGCATTAGAAACCTAATATTAATATTTAGTGAATAGTAAGCTATTACAGTATTACCTAAATACACTATTATATTTATACGCGCATACATCATTATTCAAAACCAGGGTAATTAAAATAAAATATTTCATATAATAATGAACATTATGCAATTGTTATTCGCTAAATGACAAAATATGAAAATACTTGTAAGTACTCACCAGGCATTTCCATTACATCCATTTGAGATAGCAAACGAATGTCAAATAGATCTAAGAGGAAAAGTGTGATTGTTGTCGTAATGATAATATTGTTGTTATGCTTAGCCAGAATCTGACAGTAACTCACATTAAAAAAACGTTTACCCAATCGGCCAAGTTAATAAAATATAACGATTGCGAAACGATCCTCAGCCTTCCTTAAAAGTTAAATGATTATTGTTCAACAGTATTTACTATGTGTTAAAAATTTTTTCTATTTTTTCTTATCTCAAGCCAGTAAGTTGGTGACACAGATAAAATAAAAAATACTGTATGTGATAAGAAATGATAATGTTTATTCCACCACGAGATCGGAAATACGACAACTTTAATACGACCCATACTAGGCCACTAGGGTTAGTTATAGGTTAAAACCAATTTTTTTAGTTTTTTTAAAACCATTCCGTTCTGTTAACCTGATTGATTTACGATGATTTACGATGATTTTTGTTGGTATCAGTGGTATTATTTTCTTTATTCTAAACATACAAAAAAAAATTATTATTCATATTTAATAATATAAAAACCATATTTAATCAAATTATAATTACCTACCTTTAAAAAGTCTGGCATTTCAAAGTAGATCTCTGTACTTCGTTCATTCTCTAATCTACTTCTTTGAACTCGCTTTAAGCCCTCTTATAATGCTAAACATTGATAAATTATTAATAAATAGTAAATATTATTTAAAGTATATTCAAAAAAGGTGGGTAAGTGGATGTTGCTCTGCTGTACAGTTGGTTACAAGTGGGTCACTGTATAAAGGATGGTATTAAATTTGAATTCAATGATATAATATCATTGTTTAAAAAAAACGATTCTGAGCGAAGACGGTATGTCAGTCTAGGTTTAAGACAAATTATATACATATCTATGGTATTAAAAATAAATTGACCTATAATAAATTCCAAATTAATCATATCACATTATCACAATATCCATTAGGTACTTATAACAAGTTAAACATCAACATCAATAACAAACCCTGATACTATCATAGATATATAATGGTACACTTTAGAAGTTTCAAGTAGGTACCCACGAATAATATTATATAATCACAACAAAATAACTAGGTTTTTTAATATGTAATTTCGTCCAAATTTGAACATAAAATGACTATAAAAGTAAACTGTGATTGTATATTTTTTAGATTTTTCGGTAAGAGAATTAACTACTTACGTGGAATCTTGTTTTAAATTTTCAATCCTTAGCTATAAAAACTGAACATTTTATAATTTATTAATTACGATGATTAATAATTTTCGAGATTTTGAAAAACTCTGTCAAAATTCGATGTTTAAATGCTTATAAAAAAAAATTGTGCCTATGTATTTTTAATATTTTTCAACTGATATTGTAACAATATATCAGGAGCCTTGTATTAAATTTTTACACTTTTTGGCCCAACAGCTAAAACTTTATTGATATTCATAGAAAAAAAAACTAAAAAAATTGAAAAATGAAAATATCCGTAAACAGCTCAAAAAGAGTCAAAATATTTTCAAAATTGTATGGTGTATAGGAAATGCTAATGTAAACATTCAGTGAAATTTTCATGTATCTATAGTTATTCGTTTATGAATAACAACAAAATAAGGAAATCGCTACATGAGAAATCGAGTGAACATCCAATGTTGTAAAAATTTGAATTTCAAACGCTCATAAAAATTTAATTTGACTGCCCGGTAGAGATTTTTTTATTGATAAAGGTAGACAAACTTATGGTTATGAGTAATCTTGTATTACATTTTCAAATCATAGATTTAAAAAGAAAAAATTTTACGAATTCTTAACTCAAAAAAATTTGCTAATTTTCGTGATTTTTCCATATTTTGTCAATTTTTGAACTTTAAATGCTTATAAAAAAAAACTGTGATTAACGATTTTTAATATTTTTCATCTGCCTTTGAAACAATATACTAGGATTAAAATTTTGACCTCCCCAATGCACCAACGATATTCACTTTTGAATCGAACAAGATACTGAAGTTGATAATCGGAGCATTATTTCGACTACTTATCGTGTCCACAGACACAAAAATAAAAAAAGGTTGGTAAGTGGATGTCGCTCTGCTGTACTGTAGGTTACAAGTGGGTCACTGTATAATGGATGGTATTAAATTTTAATTCAATGATATAATATCATTGTATAAGAAAAACGATTCTGAGCGGAGACTGTATGTCAGTCTAGGTATAAGACATTAAATACTTATCTATGTTATTAAATTATATGGAATTTATGAATAAATTATTCATTGCCCCTTAAAATATACCCAGTCTTATCATTGAGCATACTTCTTATTCCTTATAATATGGTAGATTGTATGGATAGACCATAATATTTTAATTTTTCAGTTTCATATATCCCCGAATAATATTTTTAAATTACAACAAAAAACCAAGATCGTTAATATTGATTTTAATATGTAATTTTGTCCAAATATGAATTTAAAATGTCTGTAAAAAATAACTGTGCTCATATATTTTTTAGATTTTTTGGCTACAGAATGAACTATTTATGAGAATCATTTTTTTAAATTTACAATCCTTAGCTATAAAAACTGAACATTTTATAAATTATTAATTACGATGATTAATAATTTTCGAGATTTTGATAAATTTTGTCAAAATGCGATCTTTAAATGCTTATAAAAAAAAAATGCTAATATAAACATTCGGGGAAATTTTCATGTATCTACAGACTACAATAATTCGTTTTTGAATTACAACAAAAAAAGGAAATCGCCACATGAGAAATCGAGTAAATATCCAATGTTGTACAAATTTGAATTTCAAACGTTCATAAAAATTTAATTTGACTTTCTTATAGAATTTTTTTTTTTGATAAATGTAGGAAATCTTATAAGGAATCTTGTATTACATTTTCATATCTTAGATTTAAAAAGAAAAATTTTTTTGAATTTCTAACTCGAAATAATTTGCAAATTTTCGTGATTTTTCCATATTTTGTCATTTTTTGAACTTTAAATGCTTAAAAAAAAAACTGTGACTAACGATTTTTAATATTTTTCATCTGTCTTTGAAACAATATAGTAGGAGCCTTGTATTAAATTTTCAAGTATTTTTAACCTACAAATAAATTTTTATTGATATTCATAAAAAAAAAACTAATAAAATTGGAAACTGAAAATGTCCCTAAACAGTTCAAAATATATCCAAATATTTTGAAAATGTTATCGTGTATAGAAAATGCAAATATAAACAACTACTGAAAATTTCATGTATCTACGGTAATTTGTTTTAAAGTTACACCAAAAACCAAAATCGATTTTCTCGAAAACAGATTTTGCGTAAAAATTCCCGTTTTTCCTTAATTTTTCTTTTGTTTTTCCCGGCGCTTTTGAAAACTACTGGGAAGTTTAAATTTTGACCTCCTCAATGCACCAACGAACTTTCCAATCGAACAAAATACAGAAGTTGAAAATCGAAGCATTATTTCGACTACTTATCGTGTACACAGACACAAAAATAAAAAAATATAAAAACACACATCATTGTAAAATCAATACATTCATCGTTTCACTCAGAATCTAAAATGTAATAGCAATAGTACAACACCTAGATTAACAATTTTTTTTATGATAACACAAATTAATTAATATTGATCTTTAAATAACATCAACAACATTTTAACATTTTTAATATTGATATTTTAGGCTAATTTATCATAAACTAAGCATACTAGAACTTATAGTTTATTCTCTTCAATATGGTTGATACCATACCCATTCTTTTTTTAATTTAATGTACCTAATGGTCATGGAGTTCACACTACACCGTGTAAAATAATCACGGTTACCACAGTTACCAAACGATACCGTATAGTTGAATTTATTCAACTATGCGGCAGGAGCGTATACAGAGAGGGGCTTTGGGGGTTCAACCCCCCCCCTGAAATCTACTATGAACCTCACCCCTACCGAATTTTTTTTTTTGTGTGCGCGCCTGCTATGCGGTATCGTTTGGTAACTGTGGTAACCGTGATTATTTTACACGGCACGGTGTAGTGTGAACCCCCTTTATGGTAACATGGAAATGTGTTTACCTTGAATGAACCATAAACATATTCAAGTTATTTACAAATATGGAATCGCGGAAAAAAAGTCCCACCCTAGGAAAAAAAAGGGTGCTACTCTCATATGCGGACTACAAATGCATGTGGTCTACCATCATAAATGTAGACCGCATATCGTAGTAGAAAAAAATATAGATAAACTGCATTATAAAAACGTACATCCACTAAAAGATAAAATAAAATTGGCCAGATAAAATGTTCTGATGTAAATCATATCTTGTATTTTCCAACTATGTTTATTGTTATTAAAAAATACCTACCTACAATTACTGTGCGACATTATACCTAACGCATTTAATAAGTTTGTTAGTTACCTATAATTAGTCATCGATTGTGTTGTACTGTTTATATTTGTGTCCGTTTTGTATAATATCGTGTGCATTATGCAATTAAAAGATTTTTATTTGACTGTCACAAAGAGTGAAGAGAATGCCACTGCATTTTTAAGGGAGCACGGTTTATTAGACACTGTCGAAGAAACATTGCCATGTCATAAGTGTGGTTCTGAAATGGATAGAAAACGAGATCGAGGAGGTGACTTTCGTCCTCTTCTTCGGTGCAAAAAAAAGGATGTCAGACCACTCGTATAGTATACGACAGGGGAACAATTTTTTGCATTACGAGGACTTGAACAATAGGTCCAGTGGCGTATTTACGGGGGGGGATATGGGGGATAGATCCCCCCCTTGACCTTTTTTTTTTTCCTAGGTAGCTAACTAGCTAAGTTGTCTCATTTTCTCTAATATTCTTAATATGATATAATTATAAGTGAAATTACTTTCAAGCATGTATGTTTAATAAATGTTCTAGTCGTGGTAATTGTAGTAATTGTACTGCTCTGATAGTCTGATATACTAATCGCCACTAATCGTTGGCGGCATGTACGACTATCAGGCAACAATAACTATACCTATATTATGGTGTACTGTATTTTGTACGTTTCTGCGAATTATTTTTCATGCAAGAGTGTTTATAATAAACCCGATAAGCAATCGGTAAACAAAACAAAATGACCATGAATACCGTGGATTAACCATAGGCCGGGTTTATTTTTAGAAAATTTGTTACTAGTAGATTTATGAATTATGGCTAATCGCTAATGTATAGCGATTATAGATATTATTATTACATTATATTTTATCGTATGATATCGTGATTTGTGAAAAGTAGATATTTACGGTCGTTGGACGTTGACGGATAGCGAGTAGCGACGCCATTCCGAGTACTGACTTACTGCCGAATTAACTATTGTTCGACTTTTATTTTTTTCGTCTTGTTAGTTGTAACTGTGAAGTTTTAAGACAATAATACAATATGAGTAATACTCAAAAACAAAAAAACACTTTATTTTCTTATTTTAGTACAAATAAAAAAATTTGTTTGGAAAATGATGAGGTAATTATAAAAATTAATAAAATAATTAATTAAAATTATAAATTATACTATATTAAAACTATATATTATATATATATATATATATTTTATTATTATTATTATTATTATTTTTTTTTTTATCGTATTAAACACGGGATTGGTGCTAGTATGAACTTATAATAAATGCTATTAGGTACTTATATATTATTTGTGTTAATTTTTATTTTGCCTTGATCCACACTAACCTCAATAGGTAACAAGTTAGGGGATTTTAAAAATGTATATTATGTACGGATTTATGGGTGTTAGGATGTATTATTATATATTTCATCCCCCCCCTAGCAAAATTCCTAAATACGCCACTGAATAGGTCTAATAGTAATCTCAAACTTACCGAAATTTTAGAATTAGTTTTTTTTTTCGTATCAGATATTTCTTTGACAACAACGGCCACTTTAACAGGAAGATGACAAGGGACAGTTACTGACTGGTTTAATATGTGTCGTGAGGTATGTTCAAATATTGTTCACAAACGGCCAAAGATGGTGGGAACCCAGATTGATCCAATACAGATTGACGAGGCTAGATTTGGCGGAAAAATAAAATATAATCGAGGTCGGTTACTCAATGGTGATCAACCAATTTCATCGGAAAACAGTGACGTTGAAGTCGAGAACGGTAGAAACCATGGACAAAGAGTAGATGGACCTTGGGTATTTGGTCTAAAAAAAGGTTCTGACTGCTTATATTTTTATGTACTTCGAAGAGACAAAAATACATTACTTCCAATTATACAGCGAGAATATGAAGCTGGCTCTGTTATTTACCCTGATGAGTGGGCGGCTTATGGATGATTAAATGGTAGTGGATATATACATAAAACGGTCAACCATCAGCAAAACTACGTGGATCCTTTGACGGGGGCTCACACTCAAAGCATAGAGAGATCATGGCTGGATTAAAAGTCAAAGATCATGAAAACAATGAGAGGTACAACTAAAAAACTACTTCAATCCCATCTCGACCATTATTGTTGGAAGGTTGCTTGCAAAGACGAACCTGATACATTTATAGAATTTCTGAGGGATATTAAAAAAGTTTATCCCTAAAATTATTATTTATTATTTTTTATATTTATTTTTTGACTATGTGACTTTTATCAAATCATTATTGACAGTTAATCGTAAATTTTTTATATTGATTTTTTATGTACACATATTATTATTATTAAATTATATTTTTCAAATTAGAACTAATAAACATAATATATTATAATTATGAAAATATAAACATGGTGTATTACAATATAGGTATTATCTAAGTCTTACAAGGTAGACCGCATACGTGAGCAGAAATATGTCGGTATAGTCCTCATATGAGAGTAGCACCAAAAAAAAAGTCCCTATAAAACTTAATGAAAATATATAAAAAAATTTAAGTATAAATATGTTAAAAGTGTATTGAAAAATACATTAATGTTACATAAAAAATCATATAATATCATAAAAAAATGTTAATTACTTACTTAAATAACATATTAAAATATAATAAAATTTAATTTAATACAAGTCTAAAATAATAAAATGTAATACAATAGTCAATAATAAATACAATTATTGTACCTATATAGTTATAATAATAATGCTATAAAAATGTAATATTATAATTAGGTACCTACACCTCTTTCTTATGTAATGACTAACGGCTATTTAAAAGGCCTGTTTATTCATATAACCTATTATTAAACCAAAAAACGTTTGTTTTTATGTAATGTTCCTGATCAAAGTTCAAATTAAAAATATCTATAGGTAGTCATTTCGTATATATTTATTAGTCACTATATTTGAAAACCCATCCAAAATGAATTCCTATTATAACAAACTAAAATTTTTTTCAAATTACCTCTGCTAATTAAATTTCAATTTATGATGAATAATTTATAGTATGAGACTTTTTATATTTATCTATACAGTTTGATATATTCCATATTATCATTACAATAAAACTAAATAGTAAATTACTAAATTAAAGTAAAAGCCAAAAATTAAAACTTGAAAATTAAATATATACAGTATACACTATATAGACATAGGTATATAAGCTCCCTTCTATTTTTTATGAAATTATATGATTTTTTTATGTAACTTTAATTTATTTTTCATTACAATTTTAATATATTTATACTTCAATTTTGATATATTTTAATTCATTTTTTCCGGGACTTTTTTTTCCGATTACCACAGTCCACAAATATGAACAATGTTCTCTGTTTCTTTAATAATTTGTGAAGTCATCAAAACTACAACGCAACATTTAATAGTATAAAACTACTTAGAGAAGAAACGTATAGGTACATCACTAGTTGACCAATAGTAAGCATAGGTATGTGACAAAACCACCAGTATATTTATAATACCGTAATCCCTGTTGAATATTTTGTTAGTTCAAATATTTGAACCAAAGTATACATTTTAAGAAGGGAAGGTATTAAAACAATTGATTCATAAAGTGACAACTAGAAGAAGATTATTGATATCTTCATTTATTCATAAGCAATGTTTAGTTAATTCCTTGGCAACATAATTTACAACATTTGTTAAGTAACTAGTAAGTCGTATATAATGAATAGAACATAATATAATTTTAAAATCAAAGAAACTACTAAGGGTGGGTTGCACCTTACCCAGGGCCGGTTTTAAGGGGGGCACCGGTGGGCAATTGCCCGGGGGCGGCACACTTTGGGGGCGGCAAAATTATCTCAGATAAAATAAACAAAAAATTAATTTTTTTTTGTAAAGAGAAAGATTTCTAAAAAATGATATATTTTATTATTATTTATTTTTTAAATTCACATATGCATACATTTTTTTTTACCTATATTGTATCATTTTAAATAAAGAGAAATAAACGTTATTAACTAAGTAGGTAGGTAGGTTTGCTTTACACATGTTTTTATGTACTCCCTGTTCAAACTGTACCGCTGAATGGTCATTTTCAACTTTACGCTGAATAAAAACATACTTAAGGTCAACAATTTCTAAAGAGAGATTAAACTCACATGCAATATTAAATATTGAATCAGAAATAACAAAACAAATTAAATATGAAGATATTATAGATCATTTTGCTGATATTCAATCAAGAAAAAAATTGTAAAACAATAAATATTATTATATTACTATATTATAGTACATATTATTAATTGTATATCATTCATTATTATTTGAATCATGGAAGATTCTAGGTAGATAGTACCTAAGACCTAAGTAAATGTTATAAACTAGTTACTTATGTTTTTTTTTGTATAGTTTACCTGCTATTAAAAATCTAATATTGGAATGCATAGGTACCTAGTTAAAATTGCTAAAAATTAACTGCAAATTAAATTTCAATGAGAAAGGGAAACATAAAAAATGAATTAATTTTATGCCCCCCCCCCCCCCCCAAAAAAAATAAAATAAAATTTAGCCATCAGTTCTATGGTATTAAAAAAAAATGTGTTGGAAAGGGGCGTCATAAATATTGTGCCCGGGGGCGAAAAATCCCTAAATACGGCCCTGACCTTACCGAACCGTTATCGCATCATTAACCACTAACGGTTATGTAAATAAAACTGGGTGCTGCTTGAAAACCCGATAGTGGTGTTAGATAATATTGTTCTTTAAATTATCGATTACTAGACATATAAACAACTAACAAGGTGTATCAATACATCTTGTATATAAACTATACATATCGGATTTTGGTTTTGTAACTCAGTTCTGAAATGTCATGAATTTTATCAATGTTATTGGTGGTTTAATTTATTTGGTAATCACGGTTATCAATAATTGAATATTTCTTTATGCAACACTGTCTAGCATAGTTTAACATGGTTTAACATAATCATTAACTTTAAAGAATGAAAAAATTACAGGGCCGGTAACAAATTTACAGACTGTTCTTTATGCATCCCGCCCTTAACATAAAAATAAGTGTAAATTTTGAATACATTTTATAACTCAAGATCCACCTAACCGATTTCGATAAAAATTTCAGGGCATATTAAAATTGATATGTAGATGGTTTCTGTGATGTTTGTACGCTGTGCGATAAGTGGTTCTGGAGTTATGGCTTTTTAAGTGCACACTAAATAATAAATAATAATAATAAAATATTAAGTTGCGGATTAAAATAATAATAGTGTATTGTATATTGCTTGCTATTGGATACGGGCACCTTTGTTGATTTGTACTATTATTTTTTGGCAGTATATTATATACCTATAATTATATTCTAACTATATAAATGTGAAATGAAAATCTTTGTACATTGCAGGGTCAACTCTGGAACTACTTAACAGATCTTCTTGATTTTTTTTAAACGAAAGAGTATATCACAGAGAACTAGAGAAGGTTATTATGAAACAAAATTTTTATCTTATAAAAATTATAAAATAATAACTATCATTAAGTACTTAGACTATTAAGAAGGTTACGTTTCCATGAATAAAAGGTTCAAACATATTATTTTTTTTCAAGGAATATTTTCATATTGTACTTTTAACCAACTAAAATCTTCTACATTTTAAAATACCAAAAATACTCAGAAAAATAAATTTAAAAAAGGATATTTAGTGATTTTGTAGCTGAAAATTAAAAAGAACATATTTTTAATTTAAGATAGTAATGTTTGGTCAATAATCAGAGCAAGATATTCTACTTAAAATTTGAATTTAGGATATTTAAATTTACTGTTTATTGTTCTATGGATTAGAATATTTTTTTTTCTTTATTGAGATTGAGCCCGGAAACTTAGGCTATTAGCTATTTTGTTTGTAGGGGGCGGAACGGTTGAAAACACGTTTTGTATGTGTGGCAAGGATTCGTTGCTAAAAATCTCGGGTGGATTTTACTGAACTTATAGCAACGTCGGCCGTTACGTATACTCAGTGCGTTTCAGCAGTTGAGTGTACGCACTGCGCCACACCAAACCACTAGAATAATTTATAGAACTATAATTCAGTATTAATATAATATTAAGTACACGCCATGTTTTCTAACTTTTATAGATCCTTGATCTGATGGAAGTTTATTCAATTCTGGATTTTTGTTTTGCGATAAGTCTTCAAATACTTGATTAGTTAATTCATCCAAGTTATCCGGATCTTGTCCATTTTTAATGTAATATTTTGAGCAAATGATGTCATACTACTGTGAGTCAAACTCGCACAAAACGTTCTACTAGTGAAACGTCCATATCTGGATCAATAACTTCATTTTCACTTATCTGAAATAACAAATTATTATAAGTTAAACTTTTTACATTTATTTTAAAATGTTTTATGTTACCAATACTCACAGAACACAGTGTCACCAGTTCAGTTATATAATCAAATGAGGACAATATGGGACCTATCTCTTGTCCAATTGTTGAACCTATTTTACAATCAACATTTTTAGTTTTTCTGTCAAGAAGATCTAATCTAAACCATATTCTAGGTTCAACTTTAACATCTAAACCATCCAGAACACATGAACTGCCATTTAAATCAACTATCGATAAAAATAAGAATAGTTTATTGTCATGGCCATATTTAAGGGGGGGGCAACGGGGACATTTGCCCCGGGTGGCCAATTTTTGACTTATTTAGGAGGGCGGCCATGCGGCTGTATATATTATGTAAATAACATTTTTTTTTTTGGTTAGAATTTGTTGGAGTACTTTTTGCATTGCATGACTATGATACGGCCGTTTGGCGTCATTTACTCATTTTGTCAATCAATGATGATAACTATTTATTTTTGTAATCTATATATATATATAAAACTGAAATCAAGCAAAAGAGGAAATCTTTGTTACGGTTTGGCTTCGA